GCTGCAGGATGGTTTCAGTTGCCACAGAGGAAGATAAGGCAGGTGGCAGACTGAGAGGCCTTGGCAGAGATTATCAGAACATCTCTGTCACGCGGATTCAAAGAAAAAAAAAAAAAAACAGACTCGTTACCAACTAACGATGCACAGGGACGCCATGAATGAGAGATAACAATCCTCACATCTGCTATACATACAGCAAGCCACACACAACCAAGCTCTCTGTCAGTCACACACACACACACACACACTGAGAATGAGTCACTGCTCAGACCACAGTTGAGCCCTGACATTTTCTCATGCCTCCAATCTACGTGCTAGAGTTCAGACAGGAAGAACATATCTCTTGAGTTTTCCTATCATGTCAACGACGCAGAAGCACTGACGCTAATCGACACAGCGAACAAATAAATACTTTTCCCATGTTGAGTTACTTCAAAACCACAACAAAATACAGTTTCCTCCTTGGTCTTACCATAAGAAGAAAACTGTTACAACCGCCGTCTTCACTTAACACGTTTCTCATAATATCATCACCAAAATAACACTTAATAAATGAAATTACTTAATACTTGCTAGCTTGATGAAATAACTTCATTTCATTTCAATCATAGCTAAAAGATAGCTAAAAATCTGACAGAAGATAAAAAAAGAATACATGAATTTTCTCATGAAGTTTATCAAACACAATATCTAGAACCATTGCGATGGGTAAAAAAGTAAAAAGGTAAAATGGTTTTTCCTAAAAACAAAAAATAAGTTTGTGGGTCAAGAATTGAAATTTCACTACAAATTTTAAAATCGTAGAAATTGCTATCACTACAAATTTTAAAATCGTAGAAATGGCTACTATGGCTATCTTATTTCAAAATACTAAAAGAAGTTGCAAATAAACTTTTGAAAATTACCTTCAGGGACCTGATGTCTCACTCATGCGACCCATCAATGGGTCGTGACCCAGTGATTGGGAACAATAAAAACAATAATCAGAAAATACTGTTAAAGTCTGATTTTTTTTAGGTTTTAATACATTTAGTAGGATCAATATTATTATAAGACGCTGGTACGACCTACAGCGGATCATCATACTATCAGTAGTACAAAAACAATCCTTCCATGACAATAACTGAGAAGGATGCCTCCCAACACTCACCATCTACCCAGAACCCACATTTTATTTTAATTATGTTGAAAACATAATAAAAATTGACAATTTATGCTCAGGCATAAAAGTGCTGTTGGATAATCGTTTACAATATTTTATGTGTCTCACAATGAAAGACATCAGATGATGACACGAGAGCCAAAAATCTCTGCATCGGTAGTTTTTATGTTGATACTTCTGGACTCAAACACAGACGGAAAGAGAATTTTTTTTTTTTTTTTTATAAATCCATCTGGACCTGTCATCTCCTACAGTTTTTCATTTATTGGTTCGTCTCCATGTGAACGTGAAGATGTGGAAACTGTGAGACGCTCCATCTTTCGGTGTAAAACTGTGAAACTAAAGCCTGGTACATGTTGCACTTGATCTAGAGGGAAGGAGGTAAAAAGGTTACGGCTCTGTGACTTAGGCCACCGCTGCTGGGATGAGGTGATTTATTCTCCTGTATGAACAGAACCCTGGGTGATGGACTTTGATTGTTGGCTGGAAAAAGCAGCAGCAGCAGCAGCAGCAGCAGGGGCTGAAGTCAGTGACAGCAGAGAAGGGTTTCAGATGGATGGAAGAAGGATTTACTCAGAGGGAAATGCAAGAAAGAGTTTGATCCCTGTGTGAACCGATGAATATAAAAAATATGACATGGTGCCTAATTTGTCCATATGTTGCAAATTATGACATCTGTTTACAGTTTATATTATTTACTTTGGTGATGCTTGGCCCGGGTTGATTGACTTTTTTTTTTCTTCTTTCTGCAGTGTTTGTTGTCTTCTGGAGCAGGATGAGATTGGCACAGGGCGACGGCTGTTTGAAGCCGGCGCAGCGCCGCCTTTGAAGCCTCCGGGACGAAAACAGAGCATCCAGATACGTCTATAATGATCTGGAAATGAATTTTGGCTGCCTGCGAAGGCGACCCACAGGCGACAAACATGTTCCTAGCTGTTGATGATATGTTACTGGAGATTACTGTGATGCAACACGAATGGAAACATCTTAAAAAACACATGTGGGAATAAACAAAAATGTGTTTAATGACAAAAGGCTGTGGCTGCTAAAGGATGAGGTGTCACTCCTCGTACATCAGCGGCCTTTCATTTCTGAGTCGCTCTGTTCGCACATGTGACTGTAATTAATAGGAGTAATCACACTTTCCCAGCACCGCTGCCTTCAGTGGGTCTTTGAAAGGTGAAATATTTCATATGGCAGTATACTGTAAATATATGAATCATATGAATATATGATGGAATATATGATTGCTGTTTCTTCAGACGTATGATAAAATGTTTGTTGTCGACTGGCTGAGTGGCTAAGTGAATCTTGGAAACCAAACATTTTGCATGAATGAATAATCCTTCCTACATGGGAAAAAAAAGTATTTTCTTTCAGTTGCTATACAAGAAAAACAAACAAACAAAAGAAAAAAAAGAAAAAGAAAAAAAGGGCGACCTTTGACAACCTCTTCTTTTGTGTTTTCATCAGTGATTACATTTATTTACTGCAGAAAACCGAGTGAAGTTTGTCTGAAAAAATTGTGAAAAAAAGTCAAAATAAAAGAAATAAAATCTTATTGCCACAGATCTTTATTTATGTTTTAATGAAAATAACCAAAGTTTAAAAATATAAGTTAACAGATAGCTAAAAGAAATTAATTTACAATTAAATAAAGTCACCTAACAGTAGACTCTAAATAGAAATATAAAACAGCCTGATCTGTGAACAGAAAACAAAATATCATAGAATAAAATTAAAAATCAAATCCTTCTCAGATTATGTTGATGAACATTTTTCTTTGCAGACCTAACTTAAAAAAATTAAACCGAATAAATATTGATTTTAATATTTATCAGACTCCAAATAATACTGTACTGTAGTCAAAATAATACTGTATTGATCTGGAAGTGGTAAATTTGAAGATGCTACAATTTTTATTGGTTGAAGAGGATTAGAAAAGAGACCAGAGGTTTAATTATAAATGAATAAATAGGGTGAAGCACATGATGCTCTGATGACTTCAGTCTGGAACCGCTGATAGACTGGAGCCAGACTCTTACCAACACTGACATCTATTGGCTGCAGTCGTAGCGTCCCAAAGATCAAGTCTAATCGACGATGTCCCCCCCGTACGTTCTACTCACGGAGATAAAAACTCAAACACTACGTGGCCATTTCTAACCCCAAAACTCAAGCGATAAACCCGATGAAGCAGTGACGCAGTCGTCAGTGGCAGATTATAATCTGCAGATCCACCGATAACAGGCTTTAACTGTTGTATAAGGGGATTTCAGTGACCCATTTTGTATTTGCCTGCAAAGTTTCGCTCTATGTCATTATGATTCTGGTAAATATGGGATTATTTATAGGTGAAAGTATGATCACTGTGAGTTTCTTTCTTTCTGTTTTTTCTGCTGCCAGTTCGCAAAGGAAATCACCTAAAGGTTTTGGCGATGTGCCTGTACGCAACCACACACGAGTGCTTTTCTGCAGAGTTCTGCACACAAAATGTAGCAGAAGTGCGAAACAAAAGAGCAAAGTGTATGAGAAGATCTTGAACGTGTTTGTTACTGAAAAAAAAAAGCAAAAAAAACAAAAAACAAAAAACAACCAAAAACAAAAAACAAAACAAAAAAAACTTTCTCCTGTTTAATTACATAATTTCGCAAGATACATTTTTTATTGCTTAATAATGCGTTACGGTAACAATGTGAAATAATTAGTAATTATTAACATAATATTACTTATTTGATTATGTAATTAATTCAATTTTACGATGGCTTTTCAACTCCAGCTAATTCATTGATGCTAATAGTTATGCTCCAAAAAAGTAACTATAAAAAGAATGTATTTTTTATTTAAATACATGATTACATAATGGCAGACATTTATACAGTATTTAGTGTAGCATTATTTTTAAAATAAAAGCTTTTGGGTGTTTTTCAAAAGCCATCCCTAATATTATCAAGTCCTGAATGCATTTATATCAACCTTTACATTTAATCAGAATTATATGCTTTGTATTATAGCTCTTTTTTTAATTCGTTTAAGGTTTCATTGCACTAAAAGGTTTTTACCCTTTGTCACAATTTCTGAACAAAACTAAAAACTGTCTAAGATTAATTAATTAATTAATTAATGTTTGATGCACAAAACTAAAAACTGTCTAAGATTAATGCCCCAATGTTTGATGCAAAATAAATATAAATAAATAAATAAATACAAAAATAATATATGCCACTACGCACACCTAAAATGGTAAAAGTTTTATTTTTTTAAATGACATATCTACAGTACATTTTTAGATCTATAATTGAATTCCGACTGGTCATAAGTCCATGTGAAGAGAGAATATCTGTTATTGCAAATCAACATATATATATAGATATTTTACATATCTTGAACATAATGCAATTAAAACTAGTCAGGCTTAAACGTGAACGGTCAAGTGTCTTGTCTACTACAGTATATATGGCAGCGCTGAGATTGCGTGAAAAAGGTTTCATAATAGGCTGATCTGGAGTCAGCTGTTCAAAGGTCGCTGGATGCTGCAGGTGGTGTGATCCGCCTTTGCGTCATAATCAAATATGCAGTCGACACCAAAGAGTAAATTGCGAAGCAAGATAGAGTGTAAGTTAGCTTTAGTTTTCTGGTTAAGCCAAGGCCCCATTGTTCTTTAGCTATTTTAATTATTTTCTTCATACCACGTAGATATATATAATTGTATAATGATACAAAAACAATAATAATGTATAAAAAGTGTATAATATATGTCCTCTACGATAGAAGTGAAATGTGAGTTTGGTAAACTCCCTAAAAAATTGGAGGGGTGAACTATCTTTTTCTCCGACTAGCTGTTGTATCTTTGGCGATGACGTCCCCTCACTGTCAGCGCGTGCGTGACCTGTAGCGTACGTGACGCCGCACCATCACCTCCTCTTCTCTCCTCCTCCTTTGTGCTGTTCTTCAGCTGCATCTTGTCGACCTGGTCTGGGACTCACATAGGTTTGTTTGTTGTCTTTATTTTTTGTTTTCTGAAAAATAGCACTGCTAAGTCACTAATGAGTGTACGGTTCAGGGCCTCGTTTCCTGACTTCCATACCTAATGGGACTGTCCTTCTGAATCCACTGTTAGCATTGATGCTTGGCCTGTTAGCGTGCTGGCTAGTATCTCGTGGTGCGGTCATTTGTCAGTGAGCAGTAGTTATTCAACATGTAGCAAGTTACAGAGACGATTAAGTAGACCTCTGGCACCATGTCGCATACACGCAACCTGACAGGTCACAATATTTCTCACGACAGCTGCCGTAGTCTTCTGAGGCTTATCCATTAGCTGTAGAGGGCAATGGGATGATGCTTCTGACCTCGTTGGGTGATTCACTTGGTGACTAGACTTACACATCACATTTCCAAAAAATAAAACAGAGAGAACTTAAATGTAATATGATTCAATATTTTAAAAAAAATTCAAAGCTAATAAGAAGTTCCAACACCTGTTAAATTAAGTTTATGTTTGTGTCTTACTGGGCTTCAGTGGTGTAAGGGCAGATACTGGACGAAAGATTTAGAATACACCCAAACTTAACGTGGAGGAGGAAGTAAAATTGCACTTGGGCTATTGGGATAATTGCTTCATTAGAACATGATGATAGCTTTTACTATGTAATCACATTGAGAGGTAAACTAAGACACGAGATAGATCATGTAAAGTGAATTGTCATTCGAATTGGCCAATTAGATATCGCTTTTAGACTTTCAATCAGTGTATTTGATGTCTTTAAATCACATACTGTACGTTTGTACATTTAACACCTCCTGTGGTGACTGACTGTTATTAAATTGCTGTTACCTTTATAAAATGTATATTATATATGTAAAAATCACTGTAACCATTCTGATCAACATGCCATCTCTTTTTTTTAACTCATAGGATTTGTCTATTTCCTATTTGTTTAGTCTATGTGGTAACTTCCCTTTGTCCAGCTTCTGTGGTATGTTAGCCTATGACCTTTCTGCCTCAGTGAAAGTCATTAACCTACCCAGGCATGGCAGAGTTTATCAGCAGTGGCCAAGGCACTGCGGTTTTGTGACATTACAGGTCCATATATTAAATAAAAGTGACACATTGATTAGAAGTGTAGATAGAGCCAGATACAAGCAGGACATTGGCTTTTGTTAAAAAAAAAATTAAATTATCCTTCAAAAGTTGGGAATTATATAAAGTTAAATCAAATTAGTTTTTCAAGATTCACCTTAATTATTTTATTTAACTTTGATTCAAAGAATTAATGTTAAAATTATGAATTTTGCTGTTAAAGATCATTCATTTGTACAGAAATGTGAATGTCATATTTTCTTTCAACTCTGTTGGTAATGTGCCTGAATTCCTGCTCTCACACTTAACAATACACACTCGTATGTTATCAGTAAGTCTGTTTAACTTTTTTATTTGTATAAGTGTTGCACCATTGAAAAGCCAAGCCTATGCCTTTTCTTGTGATGAGATACAGAATTTGCTCAATAGAAAAAAGAGAGGAGAGAATGAAGGCGAAGTCTGTGACCTTCACTGTACCATGAAAAAGAAAAAATGAAAAAATAAATGAGCATCAGGGAATCCAACATGTCACAGTGTCTGTTTAAATGGTGTCATTGTATTGGAATACTGGTGCAGAATGTGACACGTGCCTCCTGCCCACTGTAGTGTCAGGAATGCAGGTTTGAAAGAATGTGTCTGCAGGAATGTGTCACTGTGTGCAGCACACGTAAGGCCGAAGCTCCACCAGAGTTGTGTGTTGACAAAACATAAAGAAAGCGTTTTTTTCTTTTTCTTTCTCAACAGTGTTTCTCTGTCACTTTGAAGATAGATTTAGGTTCAAGTGCCTCATTCTCCGTCACAGCGCTGGTCATTATTTTTGTTGTCTTTGCAGAACATGGCTGTACCTCCTACCTACGTCGACCTTGGAAAGTCCTCCAGGGATGTTTTCACCAAGGGTTATGGTAAGTAACATTATTTACAGCTGTAAAAATGTGTGGGTTTTTTTTTTTCTTAAGCTGAATGCAAACAGTATTCACTTATGTAATCACTGCTCATGTTGACACTCAGTTGTGCAAGGTCTAATAAAATCCAAAAGGAGAAGGGGGACAGTGAGCTTTCAGTTTTGCAAATGAAACCGATTTCAGTCTGAAACAACCATCCCAGCAACTTCTCTTTGACACTTTAAAACAGATTATAAAATATTTTAGTTACCAGGTCAGAATACCAAATTGAGTGCACTGCAAAGTAAAGAAAACTAGAGCAAATGGTTAATGAAAATCAAAGATGACTTCTTGTTATTCCATTTAAATAAAAATTAAATCTGAAATCCTTTCTTCAGTGAGGTCGAGGGTGCAATTGGTCAGACATAAAATTACTTAGATATAAAGTTACTACTGACTACTAAGTTATAGATGTATTGGGGCTACTGACTACTAAGTTATAGATGTATTTTTGGGAAGGGGTAACATTAAATTACTTCTATTGTAATCTGGCACTAAATAGAAAATATCCGATGCATCAGCTGGTTTGGTTTATGGTTTGTTGAGAGTAGAGGAGCATACAGTTAAAGACTCCCATCCCCCATTTGTTTGGTGTATACACAAAGCTGTGTAGTGCAAATGATCACCAAACATCAGGTGTTTTATTCATAGACGTATTACCTGCGATGATGTGTGAATAAAAGTTAAAAAAAAAAAATACCTGCGATGATGTGTGAATAAAAGTTTTAAAAAAATATTGTCTGTTGCAGGATTTGGCCTCATCAAGCTGGACCTGAAAACAAAGTCTGAGAATGGACTGGTGAATGCTCTTCTGTTTTTATTAGATTATCATGCTATCACCACTGACTGCAGCTTTTCTATCACAGCTTTAAAGGCTGTTGGCCGGTTGGAATCAGACCTTATATGTGATTCATGCTGCCAAAAGGATGTCAGTGTTTTAGCAGTTGATATGAATAAGCTCTTCTCTACTTTTTATATTTCCTTGGCTTTGAAAGTGGTCCCTGTGCTAATCTAATATATGTTAAATTAGATTATAAATTCTGCAATAGGAATGTGTAATTAATGACAATGTTCTCATTAGAACTACCTGTCTGTACGAGCCTGACAATGATGATGTGATGTGCAGGAGTTTACCAGCACAGGCTCTGCCAACACCGAGACCAGCAAGGTCACTGGATCCCTGGAGACCAAGTACAAGTGGGCAGAGCACGGGCTGACCTTCACAGAGAAGTGGAACACAGACAACACCCTGGGCACTGAGATCACCATCGAAGATCAGGTCAGTGGTCGGTTTGGGATCGGGAAATGTTTTCTTTTAATAGTAATGTCTGTATTTTTTGTTGAGTTAATTGGCCTGTATTAAAGGATCTAAGTCAAATTAAATTAAAGTAAAAATCAGATTAAGATTTTATTTATGTTGTCCTTGTGATAACATCCTTCTTTCTTTCCACAGTTGGCCAAAGGTTTGAAGTTGACCTTTGATTCTTCTTTCTCACCAAACACTGGGTAAGCATGTCTTTGAATTAAATTTCCCCTATGTCTGAACCCAACCCACCCATGTTAAATGTGTGCAGTATTGTCCACATATTTCCATTACGTCTGAAAAACCAAAGGTAATAGAGTAAAGTAAAATAGAAGAAAATGTAAATAATGTGAACTGCTTCTCTGGTGATCATCACTTTTGAATCTGCCTTTTATCCATTGGTCGTTTTTGTCCAAGTTTGTACTTTGTGGGACAGTACTGTCTTGGTAAATACTCACTGATCCCCCTGTGTCCATCTGTTTACAGCAAGAAGGGTGGCAAACTGAAAACGGCCTACAAGTGCGACCACGTTAACCTCGGCTGTGACGTCAACTACGACATCAACGGCACTGCCATCCACGGTGCAGCAGTGGTGGGCTACGAGGGCTGGCTGGCCGGCTACCAGATGACCTTCGAGGCTGGCAGGAACAGGATCACCCAGAGCAACTTTGCCGTGGGATACAAGACGGACGAGTTCCAGCTTCATACAAATGTGTAAGTGCTGGAAAACTGATATCTGCTTTATCTATATGACTTTGACTGTTCTCTGTTCAGTATTTTGTGTCGGTGTTCGTTAAGTAACCTGTTTCTGAGGTCATGTCAATATCTTCTTTTTTTTTTTTTCCCCCTCAGAAATGATGGTACCGAGTTTGGTGGCTCCATCTACCAGAAGGTGAACGACCAGCTGGAGACGGCCGTCAACCTGGCCTGGACAGCTGGGAACAGCAACACTCGCTTTGGCATTGCTGCAAAGTATCAGATCGACGCTGATGCCGCTTTCTCTGTGAGGGGATTTAGCTTTTTTGACTCCCTGTTTTATTTACAGTACATCATATATAAGTCAGCCATGTTGACTTTCTGTGGTTTCTTCACAGGCCAAGGTGAATAACTCCAGCCTTGTAGGTCTGGGCTACACTCAGACTCTGAAGCCAGGTGAGTGCTTGTTCAGCAGTATATGTCGGACATGTATATTATATTGAGTGATATAAAACTACAACCTCATCTTGCTGTTTCTTCAGGCATCAAGCTGACACTGTCTGCTCTGCTGGATGGCAAGAATATCAACGCTGGAGGCCACAAGCTCGGCCTTGGCCTTGAGTTCCAGGCATAGGAGGATGAGAAGCAAACCTGTACCAACACACACAAAGTCCCTTCCTCAAACAATCCTAACTTATGTTATTAGTTAGTTAGCCTTCAAGTGATTACAGTGTCCCTTAAAATTCAGCAGAGTGTAAAGGTTTAAAAATTTCCTGCAACAATGCAACAATTTTGAAGGACCATTTTTAGGGAACATTGTATTTTCAAAATCAAAACCTCAAGTTAAAAACGCAAATATCAGAAATTAAAAAAAAAAAAAAAGATTTTGAAATGTGTAGCCACCGATGTTAAAGTAGCCTTGCGCTCATTCTTATTGGCCTCACGTTTGTATCACTCCTCTATATTTATACACAAGGCTTTATTTTGTGTTGTTTTTTTCATTCCAATGCATATATAAAAGGGAAGGTCCAAATTTGTTCAGCCCAAAATGCAGATACAGTAGGGCTCCACATTGGAGGCATACCGTTACATACTTACACCATCCGATGGTGCTGTTGCTTAGCACCAGGAAGCACTCCCCTGTCAATGGTGTTATGACTCAGTCTAGTTTTATCACTGCTGCACTGGAGACCTCTAGTGTTTGTCTGTTCACATTATACAATACGTTAAATTGTCTTGGATGCAGTTGTCAGTAGGTCAAAAGAGACACGACACCCCAGTGTGAGTGTGTTCTGTGTATTTTGTCTCACTTGTTGTTTTATGCCGTCAGTGTGATTCATGTCTTTGTTACACACACATATATATATATATAATGATATTTTAATGACAGTTTTACATATTGTAAGTCCAATATTAAGTCTTACAAAGGCTGTTGTTTTTGGTCAAGAAAAGAAGACACTAGTAGAACACATGCGGTTGAAACTCTCCGTAGGGAGGGGAAAATTACTCAGTGAAAAAGAAACGGTCGTCTTCCACAGCTGGTTATGGGACTCATGCTTGATGTACTTGACTATACTGTCATTCCATTAAATAAATAAATAACATCTTAAAACTGATTTCTGGATATTTTTTTAATTGTTTTTTGTCGCTTAATGGCGTAACAACAGTACAGTATGTGTAATTTGAAAGCTTCCTGTTTGAAAGCTAACATTTGAAAATAAGCAATAAAAGGAATTAACTTACATCTGTAAGATGACTAATTTTTTTTTCATTTTTTTAGTGCTATGTAGATAATGTAAAGGGAATTACAACATTAACATCACCAAAATCTCTACAGCCACTTCTTTCAAGTTCAATAAACATTTATGTTTGCCATTGTCTTTCCCTGCAGACAGGAGTCATTTACAAAATGTTTAAAAAACAGACTACAAGACTAGTTTTACAAGTATGGGTACAGGTGCAGGGTTTTTTTTTTTCACACTGGGTGTTCACAACTGAACAAGAACAACAGTACAGTATGTGTAATTTGAATTTGAATTATAATCATTATTCCTCTGGCAACAACTGTGCACTCTTTGAATTATAATCATTATTCCTCTGGCAACTACTGTGCACTCTTCAATTTTGGAAACATGACGAGTTATGAAATCCTAATTAACGTAATTAACAAGTAATATGATCTGTTTATTCTAAAACTTGAGTTTAACTCCACTTCACAATTTTCAGCATAACTATTAAAATGCTTATGCATGATATGCGCGAGACCTTTTTACAGGTTTGGGGTATCTATTTTTATTTATAATAATTGCATTCCTACTTGTAAAGTAAAAAGTAAGTACACTTCTGACACACAGATATGTTAAAATATGACATATTAAAAAATTCTCGCCAACTTTTACTGCTGTAAGTAAACGTTTAACTCTTGCTCTAAACTGTAATAATAATAAAACAATTAACTCCATAGAACTAGTAAAACCAGTGACGTGTACCTGACGTATGTTCTGACTAATGGTGTCTCTGTGTAGCCACACCAAGCCGCGCCTCCTCAGTTACTCGCGCATCAACATGGCGACGTGCAGGAACATGGAGCACAGCAGGGGAAAAATTTCTGCCCTTTTCCTGGTGATTCTTGTCCAACTGTTTGTCGGTATCGTCCTGTCATTCCCGGTGAATATTACAGGTAGGTTGTAAACGTTAAACGTATCTGAAAGAACGGTTTTTCAAACAAACGAGACTGTTAATGAACGAGCTAGCCACAGGCTAAAGTTGCAGGTAACCTAGTAGTGAAGCCTAGGAGCAACAACGTCAACGAAGGAAGCCAAAGAGTCAGTGATAGATTAAAAAACCGTTTACAGTTAAATTGTTAAACAATCTGACCAAACGTATAATCATTTTAAATTGAGTCAGAATTAGTCCTCAAACGGGTTTAAATTGAGTCAGAATTAGTCCTCAAGTCTTAGTCTAGTATAGTAGTTCTAAATTATCAACTGGCTTTTAATATCAAGCAAATAACCTAACACGTTCGTGACGCACGTCGTATATTTAAATTGGAAAATACCAACATTATTTATTTATGAATAAGAGATTAAATAACTATGTTACTTATGTACCTATGTAAACTTATTTGTAATTTTAGTACAAATATGAAAATGTCGTTTTTTGAGCAACCAAACAGAGCAGTGTTTCTGTATGAAAATAAAAATATATGTGTAAATATATTATGCGTGAAAATGTAACGTTTAAAAAGTCGGAAATTAAACCCGACTCACCGTGTCTGGATTTGACGAAGTCGTGTATTTTCTTAACAGCTTCAATCTGCCCAGGTTGAGTAGAGCTAAGTTACATTTACTAACAGTTACAATTTATTTTCAATTATGTATATTTTACCTATTAACGTCAAGTTAGTCATATAGTTTCAATAGTTTCTGGCATGGTTCTCCTTTCAAGAACCAGTGTTTCTTGTCTTAAACTTCTGTCAGGACCAGTGTAACTTGAATCTTCTGCTATGTGACAGCCCTCAGGTGTTGCCTAGGTTAAGTGTTTTGTGATCTTGACTGGGTCCAGATGCTTCCATCATGTAACCGAGGTGTTAATTACAGCCTGTCAGGCCCTGCGGCTCATCATAGAAACCTCACTTAGTAGTTGAAGGTTAAGGAAAGTCCAAAGTTGTAAAACCGTTTTTATTAGCACAGGACTTTGACTGAAGGTGTACATTGAACCACGTGTTTTGCTTCTTAACTTATTGAAGTCCATTGAGATAAAAGTAATTGAGATAAAAAGTATCAAGTTCTTCACATGTTCTTTATCGGCTTATTCATCTGGTCCAATGTTTTTTGTTGTTTTTTTAAAAATCAAAGTTAACAGCAGTGGAACTGGCAGAATGTTTGTAGAGGCCAGAAACATCCTAAAACCTGTTTAAGAATACGTACACTTAAATAAAAGTAGTCCTTTGTTTACACCCAGTTAGACAGGTGTTGTGTGGTTGTCAACAGTGTGTCCCTTGTGTTCTTGTTCATGTTCTGTTGTCTCCCTAATGTCCCAATCACAGAGTATTATCTAAGAAAATATCTGTATTCGCTCTTACAATATTATAACTTTGGTGGCCTGAAGTAAGAACAGAACCTGCTTTTGACATTTTCTTTCTGAACTATTTAACCACAGCTTTTAAACTGTGTTTACACTTAATACATGTTGCATTAATATAACAGATTTAGAGATGTAATGCCTCCGATGCCCTTTTACTTAAGTTCTTCTGTGCTTTTTTATTTACAATCTGGGTGGAGAACATTATTTGAACAGAGGGTGGATTGTATTCTATTGTAACCTTACTTGACAGACAGTTTTTTTTCACAGTCATTTTGCGCATTAAACATGACTTGCATTTTTCAAATCTGTATCACTCTTATGTTGTGACAGTTTTTGAGTGAGACTCAGCTGCAAAGTGAAAATTCTCAATTTCCCCACTTGCAATTTGATGTGAAAAAGCCCATGGCTGTTGCTGCCTGCCACAAAGATCTCCTGTTCGTTGATGATTATTTATGCTGCCTGTGGCCCATGTGTATGAATAGTACCCTTTGTTCTCATGTGTTGGTCCCGCTCTGAGGCTTCAACTCCTTGGCGTTATCCTCCCATCCTTAGCAACGCCTCCCGGTCCCACAGGATTGAATAATGTTGACACATACTGCTTAAATGGTGTCGTTGATTCAGTGGGGTTGGCCGCATGCATGCAAATAATTTTAGCTCTTCGGCTGTGGCTTTATTGTAGAGCTCATGAAGAATTTTTTGAAAAGTTTCTTAATTCTTTTTTAATTAGACAATGTTTTATACTGCAGACATTATAGTATGGTTATTACACCACTCAGTGAGACATGTACCAACATCTGGGCAAAAAACCCCAACACTGTCATTGTTTTCTCTCAAATTTCATTCAAATTCTAAAGCATTTATATTAAACACAAAACCTCCTTTTCTAAAATTTTTTTTTTTTTTCTAATAATGATTTGAGCCAATATGCTGGTTAAAGTACAGAAATGTGGTCAAGACATTAACTTGCGGACAAAAGTTGTAGACTGAATCAGCTTCAGATATTTTTTATAAACCAATAAAGTTAAGCTTCAGTTAAATGATGAAAGTGAAAATGGTCTAATAAATGCCTTCTACCAACGTGTAAATGCGGTGCAGTGTAATTTGGTCATTACAAATAATTACAACAAATTACCAGGAATCCTGGTTATATCTAAATGAATGTGATGACATGGTATATGATAGAAGGACAACAGACAGTCTTGTATTGTTAATTACGGTTATTGGCAGAGGTCAGAGTTTGTGGGAAATGCTTGTTAACAGAGAAACAGCAAGACTTAGGAGAAACTGCTGTTTAGTGCAGTTGTACACAGCAGAGGCAGCTGAAAGATTTATGGCTTTACCCAGTTGTGTTTAAATACTTGTTCTGCCATTCACATAGGAGTTTCTGTATCATGCTAAGGAACATCTGTTAAAAGAGTGAAAACTTTAGGTTTAAGTTGTAATTTTACTTACTTTATTTGAAAATTTTCTATATAATTTTCTATATATAATGGTTCAAAGCAGGCTGAATTAACACCTGCTATGTTATTAATGTTGTATTTTTCCATCAGCTTTCTATTAGGTAACCAAATGCTGACTTTTTTTTTTTTTTTGACAGAACCATTAGGAAACAGTCAACAAGAAGTTTTGCCCCAAAATCTGACTAGTCTGGAGGAACCAAATCCCACAAGTCCTAAATCGCCTGTAACCGAAACAGATCCTGCAAACAAAACAGCTGCAGATGAAGGTAAGATGCACGGGATCTCCGTCATTGATTCCTCGCTTCAAGGAGAGAACACACTAAATGAAAGCAGTCCCGCTGCAGCAGCGGACCAAGATGACACAAAGGTTTCCACCACAGCACCTACTACTACATCTGGCACAACCTCAACCAAACCAGGTGAAGAATTACCAGGGCTCAACAAACCAAACTCGGAGCAGGACACTGATGCAGAGCCAGTAGATGACAAGAACAAAGAGAAGGGAGATCAAATTGATATGGACCGTTTCCTCTATGATGATGATGAAGAAGAATCCGATTACGAGGAAAGCAACTTGGATAGCTTTGATGAAAGTGACGATATTGGAGCTGAATTTAACAATGATGATCTCAAAGACCTTTCGGATTTGCAGCAAGGCAGGATAGAGGAGCCTGCATTCAAGAAAGGAAGCTACAATGCAGAAGGGGAGGAAGACTCACACTTTTTCTTCCATCTGGTCATCCTGGTTGTCCTAGTGGCCTTCATCTACATAATGTACCACAACAAGAAGAAGGTGAGTGCCACTAATGGAAACAATTATACTGCTTCTCTGGTTAATATTGCGAGCTTCATTTATGCTCCCTTTATGTATGTACGTTACATAGAGAAGTCTGTATCAATCATAAATGCCCACATGTCTCGTGTTTGGCAGGGTGGTTACAAAAGAAACAACTACTGAAACCACTATGTTTCAGTTGATGGTGGTGGAGATCTGGATAAACTAACTAACTGGATAAACTCACTTGCTTTTAGTTCTTAGTTGAGACAAAGGCCTGTGTGAAATACCAGAATTCTACAAAGAAAAGCTTACTGATGAAAACACCACCTACAGAAAACTTTACACTTTAAGTGGAGGCTATAAAAGACAAAGCTTTGTTATTTTCACAATGAAGTAATTCATTATTTCTCTGAATTTATTCAATCTCACAGCCTCTCAACCACTCAGTCAGAGTCCTACCTTCATGTTTTGCTCTTTTTTTGAAGATTGTTCTCTTGACCCAAACACGGCGATGGAAGGAAGGCTTATGTTCCCGTAGCAACATAGAGTATCACCGTCTGGATCAGAATGTCAACGAAGCCATGCCGTCCCTCAAAATGACCCGCGACTACGTTTTCTGATCCGCACTCCAGCAAGGACGAATGCTGAAGACCTTTTCAGAGCTCGTGGGCTTTCTTTCCTGGCCAGTTGCACTGACATAATGCTGTGCTTCGTTATGATTGATGCTTTCTCTCTTTCTCCCTCCTGGGGCCAACATTGAAAAACAGTTTGTCTGCATTTCTTTTTTCCTTTTTTTTACTGTTTTTCATATTAGTTATATTTCATCATAATTTCTAATAAGTTTTATAACTGTGTAACCCCTTGGGATTGGATGTTTTGGATCGTAAGTGGTCATATATTTTGTATTTATTTCTCGTTGCAGTCTAGTTTCCTCCTTGCCAAATGTGATTTGTTAATCAGTAGAAGGGTGGACAAGGTTGTAATAAAGGCTATTCTCATTCTGTATTGTTAATCAAAATGTGAATGTTTGAATCAGAAGAAAATCAAAATAGAAACTGATTTAAAGACATTGATGCACATGTCAAAATACAGGCATCCCTGACTTTTCTGACTCAACTGGTGTCAGCTTTTTTGATTCAAGTGTGGTTGAAATATATGTTTATTTGTATTTCAAATTATTTTAAAAGATTTATTCATTTTATACGCATATCCACATAAAATAACAACGCTTTTTCCTTTTATGGGAAAATGATGCTGTTCATTTAGCACGGGGGCGACAGGGATGATTTTCTGTGCTTTAGCCATTTAAATTGAACTGCAGATTCTGAAGTTGGTCAGAATGTACTTAGAATGAACTCAACGTAGTATTTCACGGAAATAAAGCCACACTGTAAGGGACATAGCTGAATAATCAGTTCAATTCACGTTTTGGAATGTGAGGCTTGAGCCACACCGGTACACAGGCTATTGATTGTTTTCCTTGACTTTCACATGATCACCTCCCTGGCTTACAAAGGTGTGTGTGTTACAAAAGCAGTGATGCTTATTAAGGAATGGCCAGAGGCCAAGGTGGCGCTAACTGTAAGCTGACTACTGCTGTTACTGCCCTTACTGCCAGTGCACACCTATGTGAAAATGACCGCTTCTGTTGCAATATGATACGATTTCAGCCCTCAAAACTTTTTGTAAAATCAAAATTATAGCTGTAGCTTCAATTCTGTGAAATACGATAATTTATGAAAAAAGAGATTTATTTTCGAACTTCCTTCCTTTACCACCTGTTTACATTTACCTAGTCCTGTACGGAAACTCTTTTCTTACTACTGTCTAGATTTTGCTATGCAGAAATCCTGGGCTTTTTTTCTTTCTTCGTTTTATGACTTCGGTGAAGTCTTTATAATCCTTGTGTTGTCTTTGGTGTGGCAGAAATGTTGTGTCCTCTCCTGGTACGTTTAACTGTCACGTGTGTCCGTCACATGATCTTCCCTGTGTCTTCATGTTCTCACGAGCACCGGATGAAAACCTTTTCTCTTCTCGCTCTTCTGCTTTCTCATGCCTTCATTTGAATCCACTCCATTTCCATACGAGGGACACTATGTAATAATGCGATGTTTTGCACTGTGATTTTTCTGTCACATGACTTTGAAAATGAGTGAGGGAGGTGTCCTGTGTCCAGGTGATGGATCTTGCAATCAACTGTAGAATATGTACAATCTCCTTTTGGTCAATAAAGCACAACTTGGTAAAAAGTTCATACCACATGTCATTTATTTATCCCAGGTGGGGAGCACCGGTCTGTTGGCCTTCCTGAATGTTTTACTTTCCCCTCTTCACACTTTGACTTTATAAGGCTCAGAAGTTGGTGCTGCCTAGCATGAGCTGGTTAATAGTTAAGGCCTAATTAAAACCAGCAGAGCCAGTCTTTCTGTCTCACTGCAAGAATCCATTAATCAACACCACACTGACATCTACAGCACCTTTTAGTGAAGTATGAAGCAGCTGTAGTAGGGTGTGAATGTTAAACATTCATGACTTTCTATGTGATTCTCCTGTATGACATGAACCTACAATACACCCCCCGCACAAATGTAACATAAACGATTTGACCACAGGGAGGCAGTATATACACACAAATAATTACATCACTACATTACATTACAGCTGCAAACGTCCAGGTTTTCGTATTTGTTGCTTAACAAATGAAATGAGAAAATGGAATGAGTCACATCCCAGCTGGAGCAGCAAGGAAAATAAAATTCCAGCCCCTATTTCAGGGCTTTATCCTATGTCTGCACAGAGAATGGCAACAAAATCAGAGGACTGTGTTGGAAAAACACAAAACACTTTGGCACTTTTTATGTACCATTACCCAGCATCCCTCCTAAACACCACGCAGAGGAAACCTTAGTCTGTGTATCCTATATAGTATGAATTGTTTAGTGTCTCTCTCTCTCTCTGTCTCTCTAATACACACACACAAACACACACTCCACTGAGCTGGAAAGTCAGAAAAAACAAATGTATAACAATTCCGCCACGACATAGTACAGTTTGACAAAGAGAGAGAGAAAGAGAGAGAGAGAGCGTTCTACTTGAATGTACTCCCTAGAAGAGTTGTCTGTCCTTTTAACTGCAGTACAAAACAAATACATTTCAACACGATGTCTGCCAATAAAGGTATTTTAACCAGTATCATAGTATTCATATTATTATAATTCTATTACGTATTATATTATATTTTTACCTAAACAAAGAAATAAAGCAATTAAAAATGGGTTTAAAATATTTATTGCTGATCTGTGTCAACAGGTTGTGCTCTCGATACTGTTGGACGTTGCTAAAGCGTAAATGTCTGGTGTTTTCGATTGCAGGTTTAATCTGTCTACATCAGGGGTGTCAAACAAAATTTGGTTTCACGGGCCGCGTACAACCTAATTAGAGTTCAAGTGGGCCAGACCAGTGCAACTATAACATAGTTAACTATAAATGACAATAAGTCTATGTTTTTCCCTATTGTTTTAATGCAAAGAGGTATATTAGAAATTCATTATTATTAGTATGTATATAATTAAATGAACATGAAGCGTTTGTGTTTTAAAAAAAAAAATTTAGAAATTCATGTGGGCCAGATTGAACATCTTAGTGTGTCGGTTTTGGCCCGCGGGCCGTATGTTTGACAGCCCTGGTCTATGTGCCAATATATGCCTGGGCTCAACACTCCAACACCAAGTTACTCCTGATTGCTGTCTTGGCAGCATGGAATGTGGTGTTAGTCAATAGTCTGTTGGTCTTTTAAATGCATTTAATAAAAGTCAAAGATGGAACATCCACAGGCTGCGAGATAACAAGATGCTGATATTTCCTTGCAGTTATTTGTGCAGATCTGTCTGAGGGACGGCACAGAATGAAACCCACCAGCTGGAAAATCACACAACTGCTCCCAGTCACTGAGGGGTGTAAATCCTGACAATGGTTATCCAGTGGCTTTGGAAAAGGGTTTTTTATCCTCTGTGAGGAATTGAATCCTGGGGAAAAAAATAAAATGTTTTCCACCAAAAAGCAATATTTTTAAGGTCACTTTTTCCTCGCCAAGCCTTTGCTTTTATAGAAAATTAAATGTATATTTTAATTTCCAGCCAAAACACAGGCAATAATAAAAAAT